AAAGTAACCAAAAACTAATGCAATAAAATGCAATAACCTTTATCAATGAAGCATCACCCCACATCAATGTTACGATTGCTTGCAGCAGACGTATCAAAGCATCTTGAGTGTGATCTCCAAAACTGCCAATATCATCAATCATCTGAAAAAGCTGCCTTTTTTGTGGATACTGTTTTTGGAACAAAGATAAGATACAATTAGCATGTTAGACTTCCTAAAAAGGGGGTAATGCCCATAAGCAGACAACGAAAGTTGCTGGGCAGGAGAACGTGGTGGTACTTTTTTTAATGTTCAAGAATTCTTGTTTTTTTTTAAACAACATTTAAAATTCTACGCCAAGGGTTGTAGAAATTTTAAAAATACAAACAGTGGATATTACTGGCAAGGAGAATGGAAGAGAACAGGGGCCAGAAATCTTCTATGTGTTAACATAAGCAATTTGTTTGGCGTTATTGGCCCACCGTAGAGGGGAGCACAATCGAATTTTGACAATTAATGAAAACACTGGAAGTGCCATTTAGATCTCCCAAATAAGCAAGCCTGTATGTGTAGTGACTTGGTAGCCTGTCTGTGTTTCACCCTTGAGCTGTAAAAACAGACGACAGAATCGGTGCGAGATGGGGTGGGAATCATCAGTAAAGTGTCCCATTCCTTTTAAGGAACATATTGATTACCGAAGGAAGATGAAGAAAGAAAGGAGAAACAAACAAACAAATATCAAAAATACTAAGGCCACTTGCAAAACAGTATGAGTGCCCTTGCCTTAGTGGTATTACAGAGATGCTTCCATACGGTGGATGCAGCTACAACGGACCCTTCAATCCTGGGAATTATTAACAGTTGGTATGACAATGCTTATCTGACGCGTATGTTTGCTTCTCGAAAAATTTCAGACTTTTCAACAAAAAAAAAATTCTCAAAAAATTTCTTCAGGAGTCTGTTTCAGGAGTCAAAAATCTTTTTCCTGGGTACTGTTTGCCATAAATATAAATATCAAGTATAAACAGGAAGTAAGATTTTAATCGGTACTACTGATTACCAGAAAAATTCTACACATGGTGCTGGATAAAGCGAAAAAAGTAGAAATAAAAACCTTTAAAACAACACGGAGTACATCTTCTCGAGGACCGAGTTCGGCGATTTTTTCGGTTTCCGTTTGCTGAAGTAATACTAACGCCCAATTCGCTAAAACTGTTGCTGCTGCGAGCTAAAAATATACAGTGATTACATGACTGAAGCCTATTTATGCTAGGCAGCAAGTACTTTAAAGCTGTTTGCTCTCTCTCTCTGATTTCTCTTCCTTTCGCATGTCTATCTTGCAAAACATGGCGGGTAGGAGGCTGTGCTGATGATTCGCGTTCCTAACCGCATGCATTGCTCGGTCTGTGTTTACAGTTAAGAAATAAAACAGGCTCCCTTGGCACATGACACTTAATACCAATCCTTCTATTTTACTATTTCAGCAACATGAAATTCAAAATCTAACGGTTCTCGCAGAAAATAATTTGCCAGGGTCTGAAGAATAACCTCTTGATATCAAAATTCATGGAAAACATGGAGATGAACAACTCTCCATCACGGTGTTACCATGTGATAAAGCATTTTTGCATGGAAAGCTCCCAGTTCCATGACGAATCAAATCACTAATCTAAAACTCATAAGCGATTTATGAATGCCACCTTCCTTTTTTCGACCTTTTCATGAATTTTACTTCTTTCATTACTCTGCTAATAAAGATTACCTTCTGGTTTTAGCATTCGGAATTTTAATTCACAACAGACAGAAGATTAAGTGCGATCATAAGTGGTGTTTATTGTCAGGCCTAACCCATCGCTTTTGCGCAAATTCTACAAAGCTGACGACGAAGCCACCACAAAGAAGATGTATTATTGCCGCAACAGGAAGAGGAAGGCGTATCTTGCTTTGAAAGGCAGATAAACAGTAGATGTGCTGCTAAGCTGATTCTGGAGTACAAGCACCGGTGGTGTTGTGGCTAGTAAGCCGTTTGCGAATTTGAAGAGGAGTGGTTCGATTCTTTCCCGGTCCACAGCTTTTTTTTGAAAAGGGCCCCGTTCACGACAATCACCAGGATCAGTCAGTAAACTCTCAAATAATTCATTCTGGCAGCAAAATTTTTACCCAACTAATTATCAACTGGACTTCTTGCCCGATGCTAAAAATGCTTTTAGACTGCTTCTCATGCAATCCGTGAAGAAGGAAATGGCCGAAGACGTTCAGCCAATGTTCTGCCTTCAGCAAAGTATTTATCACTGAGACTGTTTCGAAATTTTATGATTATCATTTTTATCATTATGATTATTGATTATGATTATTATTACGATTATTAAGTTTTACGATTATGATTACCACTATTTTTTATTATGATGCAAAAAAAATCGAAAAAATGGGACTGGATCAAGGAGGTTAGGTCTAACGTTTTTTAGATAAATACTTCAAACAAACTCATTCAAAACTATGAGAAAAAATACCTGTAATGCAGGTTTAGGACTTAACAGTTGTGCTGCTACAGCAGTAACTGTTGTAGCAACATCATGAGTGAACAGATTACGACCCCACTGATGAAATGCAGCATTGGCCATTGCTCGACACGCCACGATGCGGATGGGATCCGAATTAGCGCTAATCTGCAAAAACAAGCCTCTCAAAAGCTTCAAACCATACAACAATGAATAAAAAATGATTTCTTTTTTTTTGAATTTTATGAAAAAACCAACGAAAAGACGCAGTCGTGGAAAAGTCATGCACGACCAACTGGTCAGCAAAGAAAAAGTTAAAAAAAACAAATCTAACAATCTAACAAATCTAACAATTTTTCTATATTACATCATTCTCTTTTTCTCTTCTAAATTATCAGACATGTCCCCAATTACACAGCGAAATGGGGCACTGTACAGATGATTCCCATCCCGTTTCGCACCATTTTAGTCGTCTGTGTTTACAGTTCTGGCATGAAACACAAACGTCACCCGATGCAAATACCAGCTAGCTTAAATGAAGTTATATAATTTGGCTTCTTCATCAATATCAAATAAACAAAGTCGACTGTCCTATTCCTCTTTCCTCTTGTCGCTGCACCTTGCCAGTAGCAATGCTACACTTTCCAATACTTAACATGCAAGATTCTGTGTGGGATATAAAATATTAGGATCTGAAATAAGAGATCAATCTAAATATTGTATGTGATGGTAGACATTTTAGAAAACATTGTATGTTTCATCCCTTAGCTGTAAACAGAGACAGAGCACTGCATTTACGATAAGAGTGAGAATCATAAGCACAGCTTCTTGTCCGCTATGCGTAAGGTATGCATTTGATTCAATTAAACTAAATTCATTGTTACTTTGGCCAAAATAAACTTTTTTAAAGCATGTAATCACCATTCCGCTGGTCGTGATTTTGTTACATTCACAGTCAAAGCCCCATCTCCCTGGGTTAACAGAATAAAAGGCAGCGGAAAGGTGGTTCAACCTCTGTGTATGTTAATCTCTACCATACCACATCAAGAGATTCGGTCAGAAATGTAATAAGACTGTAAGCTGCGTCAAATGCAAGCGACAATAGTGCGAAAAGTGATCAAAGTTCGCAAGCAAATTCTGAGGCATACAAGAAAATTGGTGAGCCTTTGCATTGTTTCCAGTCCTTTCGGTGCCCTTCCAACTACGGCAGTCGTTGTACAGAAAATCCTGTTCAGTGTTGGTTCGAGAAGCGCCAGTCGAAACGCATCCATTATTGGAAGAACTGAGTCTGAAATTGTACTACGTTGCTAAATAAAATTCTGCTAAGATCAAGATACTGGATATAAAAAGCACAAATGCCGATGGATATACTGAACAGCAGTGTATGTTTCATCCTTTAGTTATAAGAAAAAAGAACGGACAAAAATATGTCATTAATAGAAACTGGACAGACATTTATATCCTGTTGGAACATTTCGACAGACAAAAAACTGCCAGCTTCTTCGGGACAGACAGGCGCCAGTTGAATTTTTAGGCTAAGTTTAAACATATGAAACATATATACCTAGCCATAGTATTACATGTTACCAAAGACTGCGTCGTGAACGAAGCCCTTCTTCAAAAACTGTCCTGCACCGGGAGGGAACCGAACCACTCCCTCCAATGTCTGGATGCAATGTGTTGCCACTACACCACTGGACCTAGTGCTCAAGCTTCAGCCTGGCAGCACATCTGCTGTGTATCTGCCCTTCAAGACAAGGTACACCTTTCTTTTTTCCTCTTTCTTCTTTGTGGTGGCTTCTTGGCCTGCTTTTCATGAGTTTTTCGTGGCAGGTGATATAAATTATAACTAACTCATGGTGGACATCATGTACGTTGGAGAGCTTTCAATCGAACATGGAAAATGTACCAGCATAGTAACTGGGTGCACTGTGCTCCTAAGCTCGTTGTTAAAGGTGTAAAGAATTTAACCATAATTAGCAAAACTAGTTGTAATAAGTTTCAGAGTGGGGTGATACCCAACACACTTCAGGAATTTTAAAGATACAAACAATGAATATCTCGAAACAGCTAAAACCCTGCCAGCCGCTTTCATCGAAAAAACAGTTGATCCGATAATTTCTCTAGAATGCAACATCTACGAACTGTCCTCTATGATTCAGTAAATAATACTTTTAGGATACCAGAACTATAAAGGACACAAAGGGGAGGTCCCCATGACTTAAAAGCTTTTCCGTCAACAAGAGAGCGTTCGCTAGGCTGCACCCTTCAAACGGACACGGTGAGTTCGACCCAGGTGCATGAATGGCATGGAGGAAAGCTACGACGAAATGCCTAAAATAGATCCAAGTACCAAAATAAGGTGATTTATAGTTCCCTAATAAGGAATTTTGAAATCGGTGGCGTGATTGCTGGCTCAGTTACTGGAGAGGATTAATAGCGCGTCAGCGACGGAAACACCGCATCAAGTATCAAATACTGAGTAAGTGTTAAGGCATTTTGCTCACCCATATCCCATCGAAGGCCTGTATCAATCGCGGAAACATGTAGATCTCGTGGTTCATACGTTGTGTTCATCAATATTTCCTCAAGTGCTGCTATCTAAAAACGGAATTTGAAAGAAAATCAAGTTTTATACAAACTGTGTAAATTAGGGGAAAATAAGCCGGTACTGAAAAAGAACTTCGCCAAAATTTGAAGCATACATTCGCTGGTGGAACAACGAAACCTTTCAACTGATGTTAATAATAATAATAATAATAATAATAATAATAATAATAATAATAATAATAATAATAATAATAA